TTTTTGCATCGGTCGATCATGCCGATCCCTTATTAAAAAAAATAAATCTCAATTTTTGGGGACAAATCTTGTGTTCGATATCAAATATAGGATAAAAGTATTACTTATTATAAAAAGTAACTAATTATCTTATTTTTGATTATATTTTTAAAACTATAATTGATTTGCTTTAAATAAAAAAAATTTATTAATATAAAATACGTTAATTTTACTATATAAGATAGGGTAATATATTACTAAAATTAATTTTTTTAAGTTTCGCATAAGGGATAACATTGATTGAATTGGAAGATTAATTGGAAAGACAAATTACTTAAATTGCATACGAACTACTATACCATATTAATAGATTATTTACAATGTAACTCCCTGTATTTCATAAATAAATGTAACTATTAATATGGCGCTTTAAATGGTTAAGCGTCATTATGTAACCTTTACATCATACTTTTATGATTATAGTAAGAATGATTTTACTTAGATCAATTTGATCATAATTCGTTTTTGATCCGATGATTATCATTTTATTAGCCAAATGCGTTCATGCAATAAACAAAAAAAAAAAATTGTTATGGGAGTGGCTCACGTGAAATTATATAAATCTAAACTGGATACAAATGCAACTCCCTTCACGACCTCTTTTTCGTTTGCAACTTGTCAAACATCCCTTTGAACAATAATTTTTAAAATGACCACACCAAGTAAACGTAAGTATATTTTTCAACATATATATGCAATAAAAAGAATAAGTATTCTAGTTTCATTAAGACATTTCTTTTGCAACTACTAGTTTATATTGGACATCTTTCGTCAAGAACAGAAAAACGAGATTTAGAAGAGTTGGTAAGCAACTTTTTTTTTACATATTTATATTTTTACTGCTCTAATTTTATTCGAAATTTTTATTTATTTTATTTTATTTTACCTTTTTCAGTTCGAACGTTATGGAAAAGTCTTAAGCGTGGATGTGAAGCCTATGGGCTATGCTTTTGTTGAGTTTGAGGTTAATAATAATGAGTATTAATATGGCTTATGTAGTAGCAGACAGCTTGGTATGTGTTTGGATTCTCACATTGGTTGCGGTTTGCACGTCGCTAAAACACGTATGATACTACCGGATCCTTAAATAAATAGGATCCGCGTGATGCTGATGATGCAGTAAAACAATTAAATGGATATGAATTAGATGGTGCTCGCATTGCTGTGGAATGGTCACGTCGATCTGGCGGTCCAGGCAGTGGTTGCTTCTTATGTGGCGGACAAGGTCACTGGGCTAGGGAATGTCCTGATGCTAGGGAAAAAGGCATGGACGTTCGAAGCGGTCGATGCTTTCGATGCGGTGAATTAGGCCATTTGGCGAAATATTGCAGGTATGATTCAACTTAATTATCGCAGTATATAATATTTTCATTACATTTTTGATATTTATATTTGTGAATAACGATTCTATCAAAACTATTTCAGCGGTAATAGTGATTACGATCGTAGAGGTCCATCTCCTAAATACGGTAGAGCTCGTTCTCCATACTATAGTGGACGTGGTGGCTCTTATTATGACGACTATGATCGTTATCGACGTTATTCAAAATCCCCACCTTATGGAGGTTCTGGCAGTGGATCTTATAGTGGAAGAAATCGCTCAAGGAGTCCCTATAGTAGACGTAGCCAGAGCCCTTATTACAATGATTATGGAAGAAGAAGTCCGAGTCCATATGGGTATGTTTTAGGACGGCGACATTTAAATGTCACCAAAACTTAAATCATTAAGATTTTATTTTATCCTTTATTTCAATGTTGTTTTCATTTCTGGAGGTTTTTTTTTTTTTCTGGACCACTGGAAATGATAAAATGAGTCAACCGGAGATGTTCAGAGATTTGTTGTGGTCAAAAAGTTGCATGTTTTGGAGGCTTCGAGGGCTTTTTATTTGGAAATGGACAAGGAGACTTACATTTGTAGCTGACAATTTTTTTTGCTCTTTTGGTGTTTCGACACTGGATAAATCTTTTCTGGATCAACTTTTCTTAGGCATGGAAGAAAATATTAAGCATTCAGCTGAACTTTATCAAAAGATGCGTGTCTCAACAATAGACTTATTGAATACATTATGGAACCTTTCAAGAAATTTTCTGGATCTGGACTACGAACGGAATCGACCTTTTTTTTACTCTCTTAACAAAATTCGGGACTCGGTCATTTAATCGGAACTACATAAATATTGACATCTACATTAAACAACAGGAAACTTAGTATTGACTTTTATTTTATCTTAGAGTTTATTCGTATGACCTTTATGTCTGTATAATGCGAAGAGTTGATATTTTAAATATAATACATCAATATATACTTTTACAAAAATATTATTTTTTTTTCTATTTTCTATTTTTATTTTTTTGAATTAAAGCGTTTTTTATACATGTTTTGGATGTAGCGTGCGTGCGTTTGTGTTTGCGTTTTTTTTTGCATAAACTTTATTAAAAAAAAAGCTTTCGCACTACAACTAAGTTAAAAATCATGTGATGTAAATATTACTCCTTTGTTATAAAATAATTTAATTCAAAATTGTTAATTTCTATATATAATAATTAAGTCAAAACATATTTTGGCCCATTTCCACCTTCAGGCGTTACCCAATCAATATTCTGCGATACATCCTTGATATCACAGGTTTTACAATGTACACAGTTTTGTGAATTAATTTGTAATCGTTTTTCGTTTGGATTCTTTTCGTCGTCAACAAATTCATACACGCCAGCTTTCACACATAATTAGAATTAATCAAATTAATATTGGAAATATCATATATTAAAGAAAACAGAATATCGAATTATACCTGGGCAAAATCTTCCTTCAGGCCCATCGTAAATTTTCAAATTGACATCAACGGGCAACTTTTTATCTCGAACACGTAAATGCACAGGTTGATTCTCTGTATGGTTTGTTCCACTTCGAGAAACACTCTCAAGCAAATCAAACGTTATAACGCCGTCAGGTTTAGGATATTCTATTGGTTTACATTCTCTATGAAAAGAATGTATTAATGCCACGTGTTCATTAAAGTAAAAAGGATGCAATATATACGTCGAATAGTTACTTGGCTGGTTTTAACACAGCATGATCTGGATGATGGTGTTTCAATGTCCATGGAGCTTTTCCTTTCAAAAACAACATTTCTATACCAGAATATAAGATAAACCCGTATACTCCAAGAGGTGAATTCATTGAAGGTCTAATATTTCTCACATCATACAATTCTTTGTATACCCATGAATCTTGAATTGATTCTTCATAGGCAGTGAGTGTAATAGGTCCGGATGATGTATCAGATGTTATGGCATCGTATGCAGCTTCAGCAGCAAGCATCCCGGATTTCATTGCATTGTGCGTCCCTTTTATTTTAGGAAGATTTAAAAATCCGGCAGTACAACCAATAAGAGCACCTCCGGGGAAAACTAATTTAGGAATTGACTAAAAGGTGTATCATGTGAGAATATAGCAAAGGAATCATTAGTCTAACTGGAAAATTTTATGTGTAGGCTTACGCAAAACTTACACCACCTACGCAAACCTTCGCAAAACTTGCGTCAACTTTACTAAGTGTAAGTCTTGTAAACTTAAGCGACCTTACGCGTAACTTTGCGCTTAAAAAATTTTCCTGATGTATACAAAGAATTATACCTGATATCCACCCTCATTTAAAGCTCTCGCTCCATAAGATATAACCTTTCCACCTTCAAGATGTTTCCTGATTGATGGATGAGATTTGTATCTCTATAAAATGAAAATATAAAAATTATGTTCATTGAAATATCAAAAAAAAAAAAAAAAAAAAAATACGTACTTGAAATTCCTTGTATGGATGCAAATAAGTGTTTTGATAGTCCAAAGCAACTATGAACCCTAATTGCACTATATTATTTTCCATATGATACATGAATCCTCCGCCGTAGGTTTTGTAGTCAAGGGGCCATCCTGTTGCGTGTAAACAGTAACCAGGAATATGCTTTGCAGGATCGATTTCCCAAACTTCCTTGATTCCAATCGCATAGGTTTGTTGTTGTCTACCTTCACGAAGGTTAAATTTTCTCATCAAAGTTTTAGTAAGTGATCCATGACAACCTTCAGCAAATAGAGTGACTTTGGCCTGAAATTCCATACCACGTTCAAAATTTTCTTTTGGTTTAAAGTTTTTATCGAGACCCATATCATTTGTGGCGATGCCGCGCACACTACCATCCTCATTATATAAAACCTGTTTAATCAAAACAAGTATAAAATTAATTAAACTTGATAAATTTAAAGAAAATTTTTTTTACAAATACCATCTAACCTCACTTGCAGAAAACCCCGAATAAACTTCAACTCCAACTTCTTCAGCTTGTTCACCAAGCCATTTTACATAACTGTTCAAGCTAACGATATAATTGCCTTTGTTCTTCATCACTGATGGAAGAGGAAGAAGAGGAATGGATAACTTTTCTGTAAAGAATCTCATTTCGTCCTTGAGTACTGGTTGATTTAATGGTGCCCCTCGTTCTTTCCAATCAGGTAAAAGTTCATTTAATGCTCTAGGCTCAAGAACTGCACCGGAAAGTGTGTGAGCACCTATAACATGAACAACACGAATTAAGTATTATAAAAATGCGACTCAAATTAAAGGTAACTTTCTATTAAAAATCATATACCGAGTTCACTAGCTTTTTCAATAACTACTACTCTAACTTCTTTTCCTTCGGCATTTGCCAATTGTTTTAAGCGAATTGCGGCGGATAATCCTGATGGACCAGCACCAACTATAACGACGTCAGTCTCGTCAACAAAACGCTCTGCAGTAAGACGAGGATCGACTTCTTGGTTTGTGACTGACGCATAGCTTCGAGAAGTGGAATTTAAAAATCTCTTATATGAGCCAAATGGCTGCTTAAGACTGGATTGGTGTGAAATTTTATGTAAAAGAGGTGTTTTATATGACAGAACTCTTGCACGTATTCGGAGCGCCGAAAGAATGTTACTGCCATTTATTTTAGGTGAAAGCCGTAAAATCATTGTTTGGAATTCGGTAGAAAAAAGAAAGTTGATGAAATATCTCATTATCACATCTAGTGTAAAAGTACCTAGAATTTGATTGGTCAAATCCATCTAAATTTCAAAGGTTGTGCAGGTATTTAATCGAAAATCGATTAATCGATAATCGAATAAACCATTTTTAGCGGATTTCCGATAAGAAAACTCCATTCCCTCTCGTCGAAGAAGCGTTAGCAATTTGTGTAGATAACGCACTCAAAGCTAGCCTCATTATTACTGACAATATTCTTTCAACCAAAGCCTTGAGTTTTGCTTATTTATTAAAGAAGAATAAGTTTAAAGGGTCTAGTGGTTGGGTGGACAACTTTAAAAAATGACACAACCTTAAACAGTACCATATACACGGGGAAGCCGCAAGTGCACTGCTCAAAGATCTCGAAACAATGAGAGAGAATCTCTGGCAAATATTAAAAGATTATAGTCCCAAAGACATATTCAATTGTGATGAAACAGGACTGTTTTAGAAGATGAAACCAAGTCAAATGATATCTAATGAACAAACATCAGGAACAAAATAATTAAAGGATTGTGTAATAATCCTACTCACATGCAACGCAATGGGGAGTGAAAAGCTAATGCCTTTATTCATACACAAGTATGAAAGTATGAAAATTCTAGAGTTATTAAGAACATTGATAAAAGAATGCTTTCAGTCAAATACTATTAAAACTAAAAAAGGTGAATGCAGATTTCAATCTGAAACGAATACATAAAAAAACTTGATACAAAAATGAGAAGACAAAACCAGAACATTTTTCTTCTTGTGGACAATGCTCTGACATATGCTTTTTATGAAACCACCTGCCTGACTAACATCACTATTTAATCCCTTCCTCCAAACATCACTGCACACCTTCAACCTTGTGATCAAGGTATCATAAATAGTTTTAAGGTGAGAAATGTAATTGATTTAATAATTCTTTAGTTAAAATATAATTAACATTATTATATTTTATACTTTATTTATATTTATATTTAATTTTAATTCAACTTATTTTAGGTATAATATCAAAAGCTATATTTACAAAATTGAATTAAAGCTTTTGATAAGTTTAATGAATACGATATCGAACCCTCTGAAATTAATATTATAAAATATATTTCACAAGCATGAAATAACGTTACAAATAAAACAATTGAAAATTGTTAGGTGAAAACAGATATTTTACTTAATAATAATTATGAAAACAGGAATAAAACTGTATCAATATATTATTTGAACTTAAATGGTTAAAGGAAATGGAAGAAGTTCAAGTATTAATTGATAAATTAGATTTTGACAATCCTTTTTCTGCCAAAGAATTTGTTAAGTATTGTTATAGGAAAATATTGATCCAAAAGATTATGTGACACATATGATTAAAAGGCATATTGATTGCATCACGTTAGATGACGAAGACGGCGAAGACGAGAGAAATAAATTAAACAAAGGTTACGCAAAACCCAGAAGTCGCTGGAAAATTCTATTATATTATAATTGTATATTATATTATTTATAAAAATTAGAAAAATTAGAGCAATCCAAAAATTACTTATGTGAATTTAATAAATATAATATATTAGATAATTAGAATAAATCTACAATAACAAATCATCATCTCAGTGATAAATAAAAATTATTATAAAATTATTCATCATAATTTAGTAAAAAATTAATAAGCAATTTTAACATAAGT